CATATTTTTGCCCACAAATCAAAACTGTCACAAAGCATGACATTTTTACAAGAAATGAGCTTATACTCTTACATAACCAAATGACATAATATAAACACTTGAAACAAAACTTACAGAACTTTTCTAGACTTTTAACAGTGAGTTGAGTGCTAATATTAAGTGGGAAAGCCAATGGATTCGAACCCTTAGGCCCGGGTCATAACCGGACTTTTTGAAGACTTAATATTGTCCCAAAGATGAATGCAATAGTGGTTTTGTAATCATAGGGTGATCAATTCAAATGGGAAGCTTGAAACACTTTTAAAACAACTAATAAAGCCCAATGAGAGATATTAAAATAATGGTGATCAATTTGTAAAAGGAATGAGAGAGATCGGACTCAAAACGAGCCAAATATGAACAAACTACTCCATATGGTCCACCGGTCCACCAATGTTTTTTTCAATGTAACAAGAGGAACTCTAACTCAACAATTGAACTTTTAAAATGGATATTAATTTTCTAAACTTGAAGATTAATAAAGGATGTGCTCAAGAAAATTTGGATGGAAAGGATCTATTAGAAACTAGACATGATTCATAAATCAAGGTTTAAGGGGCACACCTTATAACTCTAGCTTAAAGATCAAGGAAAAACAATGATAAAAGGAAGTTAAACTTATGTAAACATGAATTTACAGCCCGTTTAGATCTTGGAGAAGTGAAGCAATGAAGGAGAAACTCACAAATAGATGATACCTTGATGATGACATGATTGACTTAATTTTGTAGAAGGAAGGAGCACCATTAAAGATCATCATGTGATCAAGAACATGAACCAAAAGAGGCCGAACGTGGAGCTCAAGTTTTGATCTCTTTTCTCTCTTTCTTTGATTCATGAAAAGTGTTTTCTTAGAGTTTGAATTGGGGCTTCAAGTGTATTTATATGAAATGTATAAGTTATGAATTGATCATGACCCTTGATGTACTTCATCAATGGCACATGAGAAGCTAATTATCCTAGCCACTCATTCCCATCCAACCACTAGGATGAAGGGATGAGATTTAAGCACCTTATCACCTCATAAACCCTAAATCAAAGCCACTTTACCTTTTTGTCCTTGTCCCTATATTTTAATTCGAATCATATCCAAAAGGGCTTTACATAAAGACCTTTGAATATTAGTAGATATATAAGTGTAGATATTGGTCAAGGGTAAGGACATTTTGGTAAAAAGAGTCAATCACATGGGAAAGATAAAAAGGGCTTATGACACCACCAATAGAATTAGCTCAGCCCACACCCATCACATCCACCTTACACTCTTCATGTGGGTCATACAAATGGGGCACATCCACATGAAATGTTCACATAACATATTCCCATGTGGATAATAATATTTAAAACATTATTTTATTTTAAAATTGCTTTGTCTCTACACAAGCCAAGCATGACACATGTGTGAAATTTAAGCATGTGACTAAAATCCAACTTTAAGTCATAGCAATATAATATAAGGTTTGAAATAAAAGAAAGAGAAAAAAGGAAGGTAAGTGACCATGTGCCATAAGGTCTCCTATGCATGGGAATCTTCTCCCAAACAAGGGGGCCCAATGTGAGGGGTCCATGGTGCCATGTGGCCACCCTATGGCCACTGGGCATCCTCATATAAGCTCGCACAATTTTGAAAATTACATTTTTGGTGATTTAAAAAATCCAAAAAATTCTTAAAAAATTCCAATAAATATTTAAATCATATTTAAACATTTTTACATCATTTCTTATTTAAATAAAATCGGACAAAAGTTATGTTAGATCGCGAGGTTTTGATTTTAGGCATCGAAGTACTCTATTGGGCTAGTCTCGAATGATGTTCCACTATGTCTCAAGTTGACTCAATGCAATTATACTCCACAGTCTATAGCAGAGACACATAAATGGACACATCAAAGTTATTGAGGCAGAGCTTCCATCATCGGGTTCTCAATAGATTACAGGCGCACCCCTGTGGGACATATTCCTACTTAAATACATGTGTCATCTCAAAGCGCATGTGCATTGGCTCTTCTAAGTCGGATAAAATTTAAGAATAGTGGCTTCCCTTGTGAATGAAAACACACATGCCATGGAATGGTCTCGTGTCAGGTTATAGACTCATTTCCCATGATTCTTGACCATCTCATACAGGGCCAACTCTCAACAAACACTCGGGTTCTATGTTACTCGATTGGATTCTTCAAGCCCTGGCTAATCACAACTAATCATGAGGCATTCTAATAAAAATTCCTAACTAGGCGGTGACCCTCACACCTCTTAAAGAAATTGATTTATCAAAACGTAAACTCTCAGTGCCTCATGTACTCGAGGTAAAGAGAATCTGGGCCCTAGTTCGCAAAGTACCCAGATTCTATCTCTCTCACTCACTCCCACTAAGCGAAAGACTCTTGGCATTAAGGCTTTGAAAGGTCATATTGCCAACCTGGACTTGGTCCTCATCCTCCTGGGAAGAATCTTATTGGTTGTAAGTATTTATATAACATTGAAACCTTACTGGGAAGATCAATGATATAAAGCAGAGCTTGACTTGTGGCTAAAGGTTATTGTACAAGATACTGTTGTATGTACGAGATAGTCTTGTATGGTATGGCTGTATACACATAGGAGGAGGTCTGAATTATGAGGAAACATTTGCTCTAGCTGTTAAACTTACCACTGTTCTGGTGCTTTCATTACTTGTGGCTGCCGGACATCATCATTTGCATTAGATGGACGTAAAGAATGCTTTTCTTAACAGCATTCTTCAAGAAGAGATTTAAATGACGCTTCCACCTAGATATCCTGACCCTCCAAATCCTGGACATCTGCTTAAACAGGTGATTATGGTTTCAAACAAGCTCCTCAACTTCGTTTAGTCATTTTAAACTGGCAGTGGCTTAGGGGGTTTCCCTGAATGTTTTACATTTCCTTAATTCGTGCACTATTCAGGTGGCTTGGTAGCAGTTCTGCTTGTTTGTGTAGGTGACATGTTTCTCACAGCTGATGATACAGAAACCATTACTCAGATGAGGCACCTTTTACAACAGTTCAAATGACCAATATGGGGCCTTTATTATATTCTGTTGGCTCAGAGATTACTCAATCTGCTTGAGGGATCATTATTAGCCCAACTATGCTTATGAACTTATTTCTTGAGCCACCTCACAGATTCGAAGACTGATACTTCAGGAGAACTTAATGTTCGTTTATGTTGTATCTGCATTTGATGAAAAACCATTATATGACCCTGTTCTGTGCTTCCAGTTGTTCAATGGGTTACTATATCTCACAATTACTGGACCATATATCAGTTATGCACCTCATTCTATTTGCCAATTTTTCTAGGTTACTTGCTCAGCTCATGCAGTTGCTACTGAGTGGATCTTATGGTATATTCAGTCCGCACTAGATTATGGTCTCTTCTGCTTTGAATTATTTAATCTTCACCCTATGGAATTTGATAATTCAGCCTGGGTTCGCTCTCCAGACATGTGCAGATCAACTACAATGTATTGTGTATTTCTTGGTTAAACACTTTGTTTTTTGGTGATGCAACAAACAAGATATGGTTTCCAAATTAACAGTTGAAGAAGAGTATCATGTTTTTTTTTCTTTTTTCTTTTAATTTGGGTTCCCCTCTGATGAGATTTTATGGATTCATATGCTTCTCTTGATTTAGGTGTCCACCCTTCATTGCCAATGCCGCTCTCCGAGGATAATATTTGCGCTATTAGGATTGCCACCAGTCTGTATTTTGTGATGTACCAAGCATATTGAGGCTAAATGTCATTCCGTTCAAGAGCTTTGTGCCCTTCTTATGCCCTCCCTTTTGTTTCTCGAAGATCAGCTTGTTGACCTATTTACAAAAGCTCTTATTAAAGGTTTATTTCTTCTGATGAGCCAGTTTTGGGTGGGGGAAGGGGGTGGATGGTGTTAATACGGATATTAGTCTTGTATTAATCTCAATTGTAATAAATGAGAACTAGTCCCACAGTTTCTCTATCTACCTCCAATCGAATATTCTCTATCTACCTCCAATCGAATATGTTTCTACTTCTGACAGCTACCAGTCATCCACTACTTTTGCTGTTATTAGGGAGTCATTAGCCCAGAAATCTTCCAGTACCATACACATTCAGAAAGGGTGAAGTAGTGCTGATTCGAAAAATACTCCATGATGTAAAACTGCCTTTTGTAATTTAGAATGCCTTTTGCACTGACATTTATTCTCAGTACATTATAGAAATCTCTGTAGATTCTGACATTAACATGGAACCCCCAGGTTCTGACAAACCAATCTGATTTTTCTGCGTAGGACAAGAATTGACAGGCTTCATCCTCATGGTTTATAAGTGAAAGGAGCATTAGTATAAATGGACATCCCAAAATATGGGGATGGATCCTGGGCAATATTACTAGTACGGACTACACTTTCTTCTGTGGTCTATCGAAATGAAGATTGTAAGAATAGTCTGTTGCCCTGTCTACTTTTGCGATAAAATAGCTTGATTTGCCGATCAGCTCCTTATTTCCAATTGCGTATGAAAAGAAGTTTAACAGGAATCACACTTTGTTGGCAAGTTTTTATATTTCGGGTCTTTGTAATGTACCTGGAGAGGTGGATGTGGAAACAGGTCAATTGGTGGATATGGGTGTCCAAAGTGTTTCTCTATTGAAATATTTATTTACTTTCGATATGTTATTTTGTTACACAAACCAAACATTGACTATCATAACACTTCAAAACATTTGACGCATGCCTGTGATCTATTGGCTGAAGTGCAAATGCTGATTGTTTGTTTCAAATTGTGTTTGTGTAGCTTCCTTTTCCTTATTCCATGCAGGTAGAAAATTATGTACTACATAGCCCTCCAAGTCACTTCAAAACGAATTTCCTTTTCGTAGTTTCTTGAGAAGCGGTTTGAAGAAAATTGATGTAATATTATTCAACCCTCTTGCGTTATTGGATTTTATGTTTTCCACAGGAAGAAGTAGAAAATGCTAAGAAGGCTATTAGAGTGCTAGGTGCTTCCGTTCTACAATCGTGTTGTGGTATGTCGCATTTGAAATCTTTATTATAAAGCAGCCGAAACTATACATGGTAACTAAATATGTACAATATGCATATACATATCGAGGGAATATCTGGTTCTTAGAATATCAATCGTTTTTCAAATTCATTTTGAAACAGTCCTTGCGATTTCTATTTTTGAACGCCTGCAGTTTTTACTTGGACCAATAAAAGAAAAGCATGCCATGGAAATGAGAAGTTCATTGCTATATAAGTAGTATATTGTTGGACATTCTACTGTCAGCTGAATAACTTGAAAAATTGAAAATATGAAAACTCAATCCCTAAGGTATATAAAATATTCCCATGTTTTAATATCGGATGACTCTGAACCATCCACGTTTGTTATGGATCTGCCAGCAAAATACCATTTCATAGCTTCAATAGTAATCAAATAAATGTTTTTCTTTATAATGACTGCTTCACTACATCTTGAAATTTTGTGGCTTGGTATGTTGGGAGCACTTGATGCATTAATTTGTGGAGGAATAAATGGCGATCACTATGAGGATAGGTATTCATAGGCCTCAAAAAAGAAAGGAAATGGCCAAGATTGTAGCTCATCTGAGACTGATACTTTGATCTCTATGAAACCCTTGTTGTTTGAATGATGTTACTTACTATTTTTTTGTGTTGGGTGTATGATTAGAGTGTAGTGAGTGGATATGCTTCCTATCATTGTTTTAAAATGCTGGATGCGGTCGAAAGCGGTGGGGGGGCCGATGCAGCAATGCCGGCAATAAATATAAAAGAAATTTAAAAATCTAAAAAAGAAAGGTTAATGCATAAAAAAATATATGGAGGTGATATGTGATAGTAGGTATTTAGTTTATTCATTAACTCCAAAAGTATTAGCTGTCGGGGATTCTGTATCCACTGTCCCCTGATAGAAATTAAAAACTTGAAACTACCTTCATAAAACATTCAACAATCAACAACCGTAAGCACAAATCTGCAACCACAAACTTTAAAGTTAGAAAATACTACAAACTAAAAATCCATGAAGATTAAAAAGTTTTAAAGTTAAGTTCAAGAAGAGTAAATACAATCATCAATTCATCATTATTTCTCAAGTCTTGAGAGTGAGATTTTAAATTTCAATTTTTCAAATACTAATTCGAAAAGTCATCTTGAGGGTATCGATTCTTGACGGGCTATGAAACCCTGGATTTGTCGTCACAAGTTCATCTAAACTTCTTCAAATCCACACCCAAAAGGTACAAATCAATAACCAAGTATCAACAAATGCACATATAGAAGAACTTCAACGAAAACAATTTCAGCGCAAATATGTCTTTTGATCCAATCGATCACAAAAATGCCACGAATGTGGCTGAAAATTGTTGTTTGGGTGGTTTAATACACCCCCAAACCCTCTCCCCCAAATTTCAAATGTCAAAAATACCATTTTACCCGTCCCTGAGGGATACTGTTTTGAGAAAAAAATTGCTGAAAATTATGTGCCATGATGTGGTGTATGAGCTATGCGGCTTTGATGCAGAGAGATATGCGGGCGCATATCTCCAAACCGCATGTGCGGTCAATTTTGATGCAGTACGCAGCGCATAGGCGGCCGCATGTGCGGTGATGCGGCTGCATATTAAAACATTTCTTCCTATCTAACTGCTTCTGTACTCTAATAAGACAGTGCATTGGAAATTTATAATATCACATGAAAGTATTGTAGCAAAGGGACTGTCACAAAATATTAAACCTGCTATTTCTAAAGTTTGGGTATGAGTTTTGGGAGCAAGCCTTGTGGGATCTTTTTGTTTAAACTGAACCAGGGTAGTTTCAGAAATCAAAAATTTTCTTTATTTAGACAGTTCAGAAAGTATTGAAATATTTAAAATACTATGAAGGTCTAAAGTGTATTTGAGAGAATGAGGAAACATTTTTTTGTTATTCCCCTTATATAATGTGTGTGAGTTTTACAATGGAGAGGGCGAATTGACTTGAATACCGTAAATATTCGAAGGACAGTTTTGCACCCAAGCCTATTATATGAAAGAAAAAAATACGTGAGATAATTATGGAAACTTGGAAACCAGAATTACAAACTGTACTTGCAACCATTAAACACTCCACATAAAGAAGAAATTTAAGAGCTATTTGGGAAGAGATACAGGCTATGAGATGACATTCATCAGGAGGCCCCTTGGTATATACCTTGTTAACCCTCATCTCAGAAGCAGTTGAGTCATTGAAACTTTTTACCCCTTCACTTAGGGACTCTGAGAATGCATCGTTTGATAGATTGAAACTGCCTCTCATTGTGCAAAGGGCTCATCCTTGTACTTGAAGGCCTTCAAGGCATGTTCCCTTTGGGGCATGGGAGCTCACTTCCTCCATCCCCTTGGACATCCCAATAAGAGATCTTTCACGAGACTTTGATATACTCATAGCATGAGAAGGTACACCTCTAGGTAAGTCTTCGTAAAGAGTTGTAGACCATGTAGCTTACATGTCTATCTTTAGAGGGTTCTAATTGTTGGAGATCTTCCCATTGTCTTCCTAGCTATTTTATCCTAGATTTTTCTTCTTTATCGTGAGTATTAATTGGAAAACCAGCTACATCCAGTTGCTTGTAAAAAGACCTGGACTTTTATCTAAAGAACCAGTCTAAGGTTCACCTGAACTTATAAATGAACAAGCCACAATTTTCGTAAGAAAGGTCATTGGGAAACTGTCTGACCTTGCAGCCTTGTCATGGCTTAAAAGGATTAATGACATATAAATTTCATCTTTATGAAAATGTCTCAGGCACTTTTGCTGATTCAGGTGTTAGTCTATTGAATTCAAGCCTGTTTGTATTGAGTTTTGCACAGCCCATCATATGTATAAAGCTTATTATAAAAGTCAACAAGGGCTTGTGTTTCTACTCGTACTCCACTATTGAATTGTTTATTTGGGATATTATAGTTTTGTCCCCTTAAACAATACCTCTCCAACCATAGCATGCCATATAGACCATTTCATCCCTTAATCCTTGTGATTGACAGCAAGATTGATCAATTTCATTGTATCACAAGAAAAAATTTGAGTAAAAAATTTAACTATTGAAAGTTAATTTCTGTAGAACTTTTCTAACTGGAAATTTGTGGGAAAGCGTTGTCATAAAAGATCTCTTCCGCCAACTTTCACTTGTGTGTGGTCCGAAGAGGCTTGATGTCCCATCATGCGGCTCTTTGTAGAGCTTTCCAAGAACTCCCTTTTGAAAGTGTGGCGTCCTACACAATTACGTAATGAAATACAATGTCAAAACCAGGAACATTTCAACAATTACAACCATTAGGCAAATGAATTACTTTCTGAAAATTGAGTTGCAGTTGACTCTTTTTGCCACTTATGTGAACAATCTTTGGGGGGAAGATGCAAATGATAAGAAGGAATGATCTAGTCAAGGTGAAGAAACAAATATTTTGAAGAGGAAATCATGTGGTCCTAGATGAATACACAACCACTATTATAGCGTTTCGTGATCAATCTGTCCATGTATAGAGCAGCTGCTGAATATGAAAAACGTTATAGACATCATTAGCAATCAGACATAAAGAAACCAAAATAATCACACTAATCATGGATGTGAAAAGTAAAACACAGTTGTGATGAAGAAAATGTCCCTAAATGAGAAATGGCTGGCTTAATTGAAATAACAATTGTAACAGAGTGAAGAAAGATATGGGATCAATAGGCAGGCAATTTATGACGCGAGGGAGAATGGAAATTGATGAATCTTAATACTTGTCTTATCTACATTACTGTATGAGTTTTTGTATACTAACTGTATTAACATGTGCATTTGTGTGTAAACTGAGGTCTATGTTGTTTCTTTATGCAGTTGAATCTAAGGGTCCATATGGGCAGCGAACTGCAGTTGTATGCATGAAAGATAGTCCGACGCCCAAAAAGTATCCTCGCCAGCCTGGTTTACCGGCAAAGAAGCCTTTGTAACACAAGTAACTACTATTGTGCTTAAAACATGGTCCAATTCCAAGTATGCATCTCTGCCAGCCATGTGTGCTGCAGAAGAGTGTGTAATGATTACCAAGGCTGCCTCACTCCTGAGCTTTAATGTATTCCTTTGTTCTTGGCTGTAATATCATTGTGAATTGTGGAGTTTTAGGGAGCTAAAACATTTCAATTTTGTATACTGTAAAAGCATGATAGATGGATTTTCCCTAGTTAGATTTGCAGTCTCTGGCAAAGAAAAATATCTTTACAAGCTTTGGCGGACTGCTGTCACCCTTCTAGCTCCTTTGTAAAAGATTCAGTTGACAGAATGAAAATCTCTTTGGCAAACAAGTATATGCTGAATACCACCTATACAAGTCTTAAAAGATGTTATTTTGACCTCCAAATTCTAAACAAGATTCTGTTTAGGTCGTCATGACTTCGGGTGCTCCTACTTTTGGGGATAAGAGGGGGTGGCATCGTTATACGGATCATTGATTCTTAAATTTCGTAAATGTTTGGGGCTTTCAATCATTTTGGTATGAATTGAAGTTTCTCATTCGTGGTGGCCTTTAGTTTCATGGACATTGACATTAGGTGCTGGTCTTCGAAAGTAGGACTATGTAAGCCGGGCAAGTGTATATACTGATTAATTTTTTTTTTATTTTCACCACCCGGATTACTTACAATAGTCCAAATATATTATGAAAAACAATAAAAGCATAAAGAATATCAAGGACTTTCACTTGCTATTTTAATCGTTTTTTTATTACACATGAAATTGCATAAACTTGATCGTTGGGAGCATGAAGCACAACTCTAAAAACAAAAAATAAATTGTTGAAAATTTTTTGTAGAATTTTGCACACCTCACTCTGGGTCTCCTCCGTTGATAGCGCATCGGATTATGGTCTTTATCAAATCTGTTAAAGTATAGGAAATCTCATGCTATCAATCTTGTCAAATCAAAGAGCGATAGTGGAACTATAGGTTAGGTCTTAATACATAGTATGGTAGGCTAGATTTCAATACTTAGTTTTGGGGTGTTTCCCTTTTTGAAACTCCTAGGGTGTGGCCTGCTTTACTTTTCTCAAAGATAACTCAGTCTTAGAGAGGTTAGAGAGAGAGGGGATCAAGAGGGAGAGGGAGAGATAGAGAGGGTGGCGTGCTACCTCGTGAAGGAGAGACAAAGCTCAAAGTGTAAAGACCAGGACTTTCATGATGATTATTTATATACAATTTTTAGTATTAGTCATTCTTATAGAGAATAGATCTTGACCATTAATCATAGAAAACCTGTGGGGTGAGAGATCTTAACTATATAATTATTAGATCAATCATCATGATTAAAATGAATGTGATAGAATCTTATCTTTCAATTTCTTTAATCTAATCCTATCAAATATAATTAATATGAAAAATATATCATACTTTCCTATCTCTTTCATAAATATGTTACGCATGCTCTATTTTGAAAACCATCTGTCTTAATTTTCAAGACTTTTATCATTTTTACTTAATTGATTAAGTGGCTTGATTTGGTGGCCATCAAAATAAGAATGAGTGTACCAAGTGGGGCAAGCCTCTCATGGGGCATCTAGTCGGCCCCATCCATCACCCACATGTAAATTATGGTGGGCCCCATAGCTCATGATGGGCCATCATATGTATACTGTAATTTATAAAATGATTTTTGAGTATGAAAATAGATTCAAAATTACAAAACAATACTCAATGCCATCTCCAAACCACACCATTTAGTGAGTCTAAGATTTAGTGACATTCATGTCACAATTCAGTTTTTACATCCGAAAATCATGATGCGTGACATTCACGTCCCCAATTATTCCCGCAGGTTATCAAATACATGCACCCAAACTTTCTTAAACAGCAGGTTACCAAAGATTATCAAACACAACTACTAACAGTTCAAGAAAAATCACATTCCACTTCCCAAGAAAGAACTTCCTATTTTTAGAGAACTTCCTCTCCAATCGAACATGCCCTTAAGTGTAAATCTCTTGATCGCTTATAAAAAGTAATAAACAACTACCTTCACTTATGCCTATACTTCAGATTGCAGTCAAATATTTCCTTACAAACGATCACAAACATCGTTACTGTGGATTAACTCAAGTAACAAAGGGATACTTTTCACCAGGGAAATGATTTTCTTTATGCTTTTGGATTTTACACACCTCACAAAGACTCTATGCCACCACCAGTGTTTCCAAATTCGTTGGTCGAGATTGTGAATCGCAGATATGGACTAGGATTTTGTCTGATCTCATTGACTCGCCATCGGGTTCCATTAGGGCTCGTTTGGTTTTTTGAATCCAGATTTATAGGAGTCACTTTTTTTGAAAAAGTTGGGCCAATCGTGTTTGGTTCGCTTAGAATCCAAAATTCCGTTGGAATTGAGATTTTTGTGGGACTCATGAATGCTCATTTTAATCCTAAATTTTTGAAATCTCAAATCCACCAAAATAGGTGAAATTGACATTTTATGGAAATGACCCATTTTGCTGCTAAAGAATAATAAAAAAAAAAAATTTAGATATAGAAACTATATCGAATTTTAGAGAAAGAAAACAAATTTAAATTTTAGACAGGGAAATATTTCCTCACAAACGATCACAAACATGGTTACCGTGGATTAACTAAAGTAACAAAGGGATACTTTTCACCA